TTCTTTATTTGCATGCATGCCAAACGCATAAATATTTGCTTCTCATTCAGTTTGGTCTAATGTTCGCAGCCTATCACTGATGCAAAAATGCATAAATATCTTTGTCTGTAATAACGAAAATTTGTATAAATCAATTCACGCATTGGAAGCTATAGATTTGTAGCCTCTTTTGGAAGCATTTAAAAAGCAAGAAAAGTTAGTGTTTGCTCATTATTCAGCGGAAATAAAGGCAATTTGGTGCGCTTGGGGTATGCTCTTCCAATCTGACGTCTTTCAGGAGCTGTTTTATTGGTGCCTGTACTCTTTCAGTAAAAACTTAATTTTTTAGGATGTCTCAACAGACAGCATCAGAAGAACAGTGCTTGCTGCAAATACAGAGCCCTATTCAGCCGGACAGTGGTGACTGCTCCCGCACCGACGATGTACCGCTTACCAACAGAGTTGACTTTTGAATTTTGTCAAAATCTGCAAAAATGTAAGGAGAAATGCTGTAGTAAAAAAACGGTAGTAAAGAGGACCTTGTGGCATAAGAAAATAATGGCCAATGCACGGGCTGCCCGTGCGAAGATGCGTTTTTTGCACAGCTCCCCGTAGATTTTTGTCGCTAACGGCACTGATTTTCCTGCAGATGCTTTTAGCTAAAAGAATTTCAAACTGGCCGCCAGAACTGACAGGAAGCATCCCTTCAAAATTTTAGTCTTCTAGCTTCTCACGCTCTCGAGTTAGCAACTTACCCCGGAGGAAATTTCACGAACCCGTACGCAGGTTCCGCGCTTACCCGTAAGCAGGGTTTGAACTCGTTAATGCCCACTTGAAAAGGAAACATTAACCTAAGATTTCAGCGTTCTAGCTTCTCAGATCCCCGAGTTATGAAATTACCCAAAAATTTTGGCGGGCCCGTACGCGGAGGGTCTCAGTGAGAGGCAGAGGAAAAGCAGCGAGTTTGTGTGGTAGCATTTTGTTAACAACAAACGCTTGGTGACAAAAATTTTAATTTCCGCTATGCGGTTTTTCATTGAAAGTGAACTGATTGTTCTGGTTCCCGAATTAGTAATTTTTCTGCCAACATTTCTACATGCCTGTACATGAGGATCACGCATACTTAGGAAATGAACTTAAAATCATTAAGTTCTACGTGAATAGGGAATAACCTCTCAAAATTTCAGCCTTTCAACTTTTCTGGTTCTCCATTTCGCAGTTTTTACGCCAAAACTTTCTTTCAGTCGTGCGTAAGCTCACATGTGCCTGCGAGTAGCGCAGTCTTCGGGTAGCCTTGATCAGCAAGTCTGCTGGCAAGGTTTTAGCGTCGAAACCTGTTTAGTCGCCTAGCTGGAATACTTGGGTACACACACACACACACAAATACGCATGCACACACACACACACACACACACACCATACACACACATTATGCATTCTGTGCTGCAATAGTTGCATAAAATGCATGTTGCAAAAACCCCGTCTGTACGTGTGTTCCGAGTGCACTTTAAGCCGGCTTTTCAATTCAGAAATCATAAGAAACTAGGAAGTCGAAATTTCAAGAATGATGCCTTACCCACTTGCGACCACGCAAGCTCAAATTTAATGCCCACGTACGTCTAAGTCTCACTCATGGTAACGTGAAAGTTTTGGCGCTTAAATTATTAATTCGGGAAACACTAAAGCTAGGAACTTGGAATCTTAGGGGGTGCTCCCTGCCACATACGATCTCGCAAATTCAAATTCAGCCCTTCATATGTCTAGGCCTCGCGTACAGGCATATAACAGTTTCGGGAACCGCAAAAGCTAGGAAGCTGTAATTTTTAAACAGTGTTCACTGTCTGCGTGCGATTCAGTCTTCACTTTCGCTTAGGCACATGAAAGTTTGGCGTGAAGAACAGAAAAGCTAGGAAGCTAAAATTTCAAAAGAATGCTCCATTCCATTTATAAATTCAGTCTCCGCGCCCAGATTACACTTACGAACATGTGAAAACTTTAGCACCAAAACTTGGGAGTCACAAAAAGTTCTGCTCATATTAAACAGTAAAACATCAAACATTTCTAACAGCAACTTCCCCTTTGACAGAACTCCATAAACGTAAGCTGAACAGAGCTGCACAAAACGCACGACCACACCATTCGCTCTACTGCACGTTCATAGAAAATTTGCGAACATACATGGAAGCCATGTTATATGTGTAACAGTGCCCCATTCATGTGCCCAGGATGCGGCCAGTACAGCATCTGGACGTGAAGATTATGTATACAAGATAGCGAATGAATGTGTACAAGAAACATCACGTAAACACCTGAGTATAACAAATCATAATCGCCAGTTAAGAATTCGTACCGGACAAATCTGCATGTTTATTTAGAGGAAAACCGTACCATAACTGATAATTCCCACAAGAATTACATTTCGGTACGAACTTCTAATGTGCGCGGGTAAATCGTGAATTTACGAAGAAAATAGGCCAAACTTTTGTCCTAAAAAAAATTCCGCCAATATTATGAGGAAAAAGTGATGAAATCATGACAAACACCTACTTCATATGTGACGTCGGAAATCCGCTGCAATTGAATATTAGACGAACTTTAACACGCGGTTGGCCTCAACTTGCTCTGTCGTTAAACCGTACTTGTAACGCGGAAAAGCATTTCGATCGGCAAGAAGGTTGTGAGGGAAATCGTTTGCATCTAAAATATTGAGCTGCCAGGGGACGCAACCAGTTGCAGTGTTGCATTTGATTAGAGAACTTACTTGCAATATTTCCTCGATATTGTTCATGACGACGCGCTTCAGCTGGTCAACAAAGTTAACTGTCCCTAACGTACAAGTCAGTAGCTTAACATCCGTTCTGCAAACAGAAATCAGTAAATTTGAAACGTTCCAAAGCAAGACATCAAAAGCCAATGTCTCTGTGAAGCTCGCACAAGTTTTGTTCAGATTTAAATTGAAACCTGTACAGACTGCAACTAGCTGTCTCACAGGTTGATAAACTGTTCCGCGGCGTGGCAAGGCAGGAAGAGCAGAATGACCGACATACGAAATTTTGAGCTGACATCACTTCCTCCATATACTTTTTCCACAGCGCTTAGTGTGGGAACTTTTGCGCCGATGGCCTCTCAAAAGTCCTCTCATCAATACGAAATCCAGCGCAATGATCAGCACCACTTTATCATCTGTGAAAGAAGATAGCGAGTCGTTGACTTGAAAACTGCATGTATAGTTGAGAACTTGATTTTCCACTGTTACCTGCCACGCTAGAGTTGTGCATCACGCTGGAGTTCTGCACAGGAGTACTTCCCGTGCTGGTGCCTATGCTACCAATATTACTGCTAGTTCCGTTGCTACTGCTTGGGACTGAATCGAACTACGCATTCTGCTGCTGTACGGAGGCCCTTTTGGGCCATGTTACAATGGGATATCCACGTCGAGTGGCTAACTCTTCATTCGAAAGCACTGCGCATTTTGCCCATTTTTCTGCCCATTTTCCTGAAAGCACCACCTCTTACATGCCTTCTAACATAAACATTTAGAGCGTGCCTGACATTACAATAGCTGGAAAATCGCAGCCAAAAGTATGGTTTGGGATATCAGAGCAGGATACAGTCACAACGACATAAGGAGCACTGAAAAGTCGAAAATACACCTCAAGCCGTTAATAGGCGAGAAGCGCAATCTTGTTCCTTTTGTTATCGCCCACGTTTTTCCATTCAATGGTCCACGTTGTTCCTTTTGTTAATCTTGCTGTTTTTCCATTGAGGCGAGTTCAAGGCGAGGTGAGGTGAGTTTAAGGCACCATAACCCCTAGTGGCTCTGGTGCCTTGAACTTACCTCAAGGTCTACTATGAGTATTTGAGGTATAAAATTGCGTGCATTCACTGCACGCAGACAACCAGAAATTTGTATACAGCATCTACAAATGAAAATCAACGGAGACGCAGAACGCGAGGCATCAGTGCGGTATATTGTTTGTTATACTATAGACATAACATAGATGCATTATACCGAATGGTCCGCTATTCCAGATGGTTGTCGACCAGTACGTATGCAGATGCTATATTTTATATGTAGATTTTTACAATATACCAATAACACAGTCTCATTATAGCTTTAGCGCATGCGCTGTGTATAATATACCAGCAACATAGGTGTATTACACGAGAAAAATTACGATAACCAGTGCTTTCATGGTTGCGTGGTTATACTGTGTGTATGTTACATACGTTCTATTCCGCCATCGGCATAACACGTCAACAACTCAACGGCAGCATCGCTTCTGTTTAGCCACTGTGTATATCATAGCAGCAAAATAGCCACAGTATATGTATGTGGAATTTTCTATGTTGCTGTATAGTGCGTTTGCATACATGCCGAAAACGAATAAAAAATTCCGAATATTTTAGCCGTGTGCAAAAAAAGCAAAAAACCGAACCAAAGAAAGCAAAGTCAACTAAAATTTTTAGCCAAAGCAGACTTGATACAAATTAAAAAGTCCGACATATGATGCTTCTCTAACTAAACTTTACAGGTTTGCAACGATATGGCTTTTTGCACTTCTGCGGATGGCAGAAAAGAAGATCGTTGTAATTCCCTGAGTAATGATATGCAGCAGAGTAAGGACATCAATTCGAACAGAGGTCTCAAGGCGCAGGATATCCAACAGTCGATGGTAGGTACCGGCAAAGAAAGGGGTGACGAAAATGCGAAGAATAAAATTTGCAACGAGAATGAAATGAGGAACAGTGACTCGGCTCGGACTGAGGTAAACTACCACTAAAAAGGGATAAGATTTTTTTTCCACCCCATATGCCCGGAACTGATTTTTGCTTGGAAAAAATCCTTATTACCGTATTTTTGGATGCGATACAGTTCATTCAGGACAATCTTTCATTTTAGAATTCGGCAAATTTGTTGGACGACTGTCAACAATATGAGGAAGAGGCATTAGCGCCAGCTACGGACCGAGCTACAGCCCCTTGCTTCCCCGAGGCACCCTTTGTGCAGGACTCGCGGAATGCCAAACCGCGTCGAGCGTCCGCTTTCCAGAACTGGCACGACTTCGAGGATGCGATGGCGCAGATCACTGGTCAGTTTTGTATCTTCAGTAATTTTACTAATTTAAAATAAATATGTGCCGAAGACCTGAGCAGAAGTAAACGCATGTTGCTTTCGGAGATACTCGAGCAAGTACACACGATGGCACCTTCAGTGCTAAGAACGGCCCGAAATCACCACACTGATTACAGCTAAAATGACGCTGCCACGTTGCATTTTTAGGAGGGATTGCTACCGATGGGATAACGAACGGTGCGCCGAACGCGCTCAAGAGTAGTACACCATCGCCTGATGCTCACGCTTCACTGCTTGATCGTAAAGATCTGGCCGCACGTGAGGTATTCCGCTCTTTTACCAGTTTTCATCTACAAGGCTCAAAGAGGCATCAGCTGCAAAATGAGAAGGCTTGACTAGAGAAGTTATTATAATTAGTTATTGCAAGTTACCACAATCCAGTGCACTTTGGAAACACTGGCCTGGTGTTTTTCTAACCTTAGATGTTTTTTTCTGGAAGTGCTGCAAATAGATTGGTGAAGGAATAAAATT